GGCCCGGCCCTAAGAAGGGGATTACGTGGAAGAGTAGAGGCAAGCAGGATGAGTGGTGTGTGCGAGGCTAGATCAAGCGGGAATGTACAACTAGAAGCAGTGGGACCGGGCTGGTAGAGCTGTGGAAGGAGGATTTAGAATCCATATGGGGAAGAAAGCTAACGAAACCCTGGGTTCCCGAGGTCCGCGGGCCTCCCACCTCCCGCCCTGGCCTTTCTTCCGGGCCCTTGGAACGCGGCCTTCAAAGACGCCCCAGCGAAGGCGCAGACGGCCCTGGATGCGGGAGCAGCCCCCCTCTCCCCCCAGAGCCCGGTTCTTCGGGACCGGCCACTTAGTGCGCAGGGCCCCACGAAGCCCCGGAGAGCCCGGGTCCTCAGGCAACCTCGCCGCGGCCTCCCGTTCCCGGGAAACCCACGTTCTGCGCCCCAAGGACCGTGCCCTTCGGGGACGCCGTGGGGGAAGGCAAACCACCGGGCCCGAGTGCGCCTGGGGCTTAGGCCTCTTTGGCCCCAAGAACCGCGGCCTGACCGCCCCCGTCAGCTCCCTGCGTAAAGGTGCTGACTTCAAACCCGCTCCCGGCGGAGGAGACTGGCGCCGCCTGGTGGGGAGTGGCGGGGAGGGGTGTGGAAAGTAGGGGTGAACGGGTGCGGGCTGTTCAGAGCATTTAGAAGCTGCTTCGCTCCGGTCACGCGCGGAGGAGCTGGTCTCCTCTCTGCGTTGCAGCCGGGATTTCGAGCGAGAGGGGAGACTCTGTGCACAGGCCAAGCTGAGGGTCCACGGACCGTAGGAGCGTGTGTCCACCTGTATGTCCAGCTGAGAGCGGGCTGGTTACTGTCTGCATGCATCTGTGCATATGTGCGTGTGTGATATGTTCAAATGGGTTTATGCGTGTGCTTGTGGGTTTATGTGGGTTTATGTATGTACAGATATGTGTTTCTGTGTGTTGGATTGTAGGGATCAGGAAGGTACGTTTGAGGATAATCTTGTGGTCTATCCATAGATGCATGTCGTGTGCACCTGTGCCCGGCGTTTGCTCCCGGGGAAGATGGCTGTGGGCATGTGTGCCTGCCTATATACGCGCGTGTATATGCGTGCGTGTCGAGGGAGGAGACTCCCAACTCAGCAAATTTTCCCTCTCCTTTCCTCCCCAAAATGGAGCTGTGAATCCATTCCGGAGTCCCACGCGACGCCGTTTCCTCCAATCCTGATTTTCTTTCTCCCTCACCCCTCCCTGCTCACCCTCCTTCTGTTTCCCTCCCTTTTGCGGGGTTTGAGGGCAGGTGTCTCTGACCTAACCTCAGTCTAGCTGTGCTGCAGCGGGGCCCGCCGGACGTGGTGCGGCTCAGGGAGCGACACGCTGCCTTCGGGCGTTGATTCCTCCTGGGGGCTGGGAGGGATGGGAGGAGGGGAGATCCCTGGTACTAGAGGGCTTCTTGCGGCCCAGGTCTCCAGGGGACTCGGCGGGGATAAAGCCTGGCACTCAGTGCTTGAGTGGGGGAGGGGAGGCAGAGCTGGGAATCCCGCGCTCACCTGGATAGCGTTGGTCACGTTCCAGCCCGCTTCCCACGCCGTGATCTTGGGCTTGTCGTGGCCCCCGAACTCGCCACCAGCCCCCACGGCCTGGTCCTTGGAGCCCGAGGGCGGCAGGGGCGCGCCGTCGCCGCGCTGGTAATGGATGTCTCCCTCGACGGGCGGTTCGGCGCCCTCGTCCCCGCAGGGCTCGCCCTCGGTTTTCAGGATGTCCATCTGCAGACCCTGGCGGTGCTCAAAGTCTAGGTCATCGCAGTGCGCGAATCCCACCGCCTCTTCGTCCGTGGCCGCCTGAAAACCCATCCTGGCGAACATGCCACTCACCTTGGCCTGAGACTTGTTGGACACGGTCGTGGCCACGTTGGACAGCTTGCTGCGGAGCAGGGTGGCCATGGCGGCGGCGGGGCCCACGGAAAGGACAGGAGGAGCTGGAGACGC